CTGCTCTCCCCTATGCGCATGCCACCTGTCAAAAGTGGGTCCCAGCTGTCTCCAACGCCAGCAGACTTCCCCCAATCCGCCCGCGACACGTGGCATTTTCTCCTCATTGCCAATCACGTTGCGACACGTGTCCCCTTGTGTTGAATCTGAATTTCTCTATCAAAATAAGACGAGATTACCAGATTTCTTTCTCAAATCAAATATATGATTTCTCCTAATTTATGTGTAATTTTATTTTGTTTCCTTTTCTTTTGTAATTTTCTATTTTTATTGTTTGTTTCCTTATTTGACAGGCAACCTCTGAACACTATAAATAGAGGTGTTAGCCTAAGGTTTTAGGAGGCTTTGAATATTCAGTTTTCTGTCGTCTTGCTGTCAGTCTCATATTTTCTCTCTAGAACTTGTGAGAATGTTTTGCAAGATAGGCTAGAGTTTTCTTGGTGAGGTTAGAGATGAACTTCTGTTAAGTGACCCAATTCGGGGTTTTAATTCCTTGTTCTGTAAACTTAAACATCTGAATGAATTAAATCTCATCTATTTTTCTATTACTTTTCAAAATATTGTGTGCCAACTTTTATATAAGTTCAGTCACGCTTTTCTTATGTAATTATGTTATGCAATGTTTTGTTATTCAAATTATTTTACAAATTGTCTTTTACTGCAATATTGTCAGATTGATATATTGTCGATTTTAGATAACTTGTAATAATAATATTTTTCTGAGCTAACATAGAGATTTAATTTATTTGATTATTTTATTTTGTGAATCAAAACTTGAATTGGTGAACGAAGCATTAGGGATTCTCGACACCTTACCGTTTTCTTCATACAGATTTTCCCCTTTTTATTTTATTTGCACAAAAATCTCAAAAACTATCATTTTTCTTTAATTCACTTTTCTCTAACGTTCTTATTCTGTTAATCATTCTTGTTATTTTGTTATCTCTCTGTGGATATGACCGCCCTTCTGTGCTACAATTATCCGCTTGTGAATATCACTTTTGGGCGTTAATCATACCCCTTCCTGAGTTCATTTCCACCCCTGTAACTCGAGTTAACTTCTCTGCACTCCTATAGTGGTGTAGATTCCCGAGGACCAGACCCTCTTTTCACGCGCTCTCTCTCTCTTTCTCTCTCTCTTTGCTCATACCTTCTCCTTCCATGGTTTTGAATCCTCTTTCGACTCCAGCAACACAAAGGCTCTCCACTCGTTGTCCTCTGGCGAATGGAAATACTGCTCCTGATAGATCATTGAATTGCTTTTTCCCGGCAACGAGAGAACCAACAAACAAGACGTCGATCTATGGATCGATCTCCCTCTCCTTCTCTTCCTATCTCTTTCTCTTAGAGATATGGCGTTGCGAGGTAGGCAACAACCTAGTGAAGGGGTGGCGTGGATCTGTTTTTTTTTCTCGGGTCGTTGGGTTGGGTGGCGACGACAGCGGGCAGAGAGATGACAGTACAATAGCGTCGAATGATGATCTCCTCCTGCAGCTGCAATTAGAGAAATAAAGCTAGTTGTTTTCTAGTTCTCCAGCTCTTGTTCAGAAACAAAGTTTGATTTAACAGGTTATAATCTCCCAAGCCCAAGCAAATCAAACACGTCATGTTGGATTTTAGAGGAAGAAACATATGATGGGGGGTTTATGGATTGAAAATTTGAAATTTGGAATTGTATTGAGAAGGTATGAATATGAATTAGATGGACGAATAGATTGTACCGAGAAGAGGGAAGATTTTTTGGGCTTTTTTTTCTCTTTCCAATTTTACCTTCCAACAAGGTGGAATTGTATTGAGGACCTTATTGTGCATTTGAGAAGAAGACATATGATGTTTTTATTCTGGATTTTGGTATTTTGCTGAGCTATAGTGCATTTGAGAGGACAAGGGATGAGCAAAGAGAGAGGGTGAAGAAGAAGGTCTGGTTGGGGGCTAAGGATTTTTTTCCCTTTTATTTTATTATTGTTTTTTCCATCAATAGATTCTCATCTCAAATTATAACTTAAATTTACACAATCAAACACAAACTCAAGTTACAACTTCAGCTCAAGTTATAACTTAAACTTAACTCAAGTCACCATAACTCAAAAATGCAACTAAATAATCCCTTGCTTTCTTCTATTTCCCTTTCTTCTGCAGCACCCTATTGTCTCCAACCAAGCTTCGGCGTCTCCCCTCATCTCTGTATCGGAGATATGCACACGATCAAATTCTACCGGCCATTAAAATCATGTTGGAAAATACGACATCGAGTGCGTAGCGAAATTTAAAAAAAATTTAAATCAATGCCAAAGCCAACCAAGAACATGTTCATGGTGATATATAACATAAATACTAAAGATCTAAATCATACCTTCAGAGATTTAGGAAACAACACGTCTGACAGATTAAAGCATTCCAAACAGCAACCGGAAGAGCCTCAACCAACTAGTCTTCTTTGCTATTCTCGTTTACACGATCGAAGTTGGGCGGGTACACGTCGTTTAATCTCCTCTTGGTATTCTTGAACTCCTTCCAACCACAAGAGAACCAAAGGAAAAATCGTTCTTGAGAATTAAACAATTTTTCCTCTCATGAATCTTTTGCCAATAGCTCCCAAAAGTCTCTCAAGTGATCTAATGAATAATGTGACTTACTGGGCTATTTATAATGTTTAGGAAGTCATATATCCATAACAATTAGGTTTCTCAAAGTTTATCTCACTTATAGAGTCAGTTTCGCCACGTCAGCACGCGCTATGCGTTACAACCGGACGACTTGTGACAGAGACGTTATAACTCACCGGTCGACTTGTCTGAACACAAGAAAATTATTTTCCTAGTTTTTCAACACATAAAACTTGCACAGAGCCTCAGTTTTAACTCAAGCAATCCAATAGAAGAGTTGTCTGATCAAAACAATCATATAATAGTCTTCCCATATTAAATAACTTTCAAAATAATAATTCAACCAATTTATCTAGAATTAATTTAACAATTAATTCACCCGATAAATTACTCATGAACTAAACAACTAGAAACATTAATTCAACCAATTGATCTAGAATTAATTTATCAATTAATTCACCCGATAAATCACTCATGAATTAATTAACCAATCTCATATTAACTTTGAACATCTTTTACGGAAATAATACAAGTTACCAATATGTATGAAATACACCGTATCGTTACAGGAAATTATGTGAGCTAGCAAAGGGACCCGATGGATATATATAAATCAAGCTCCTATAATCACAACGCTACTTGTAAACCAACAAGTACGTCTCATGATTATAAAACTCTAGCGTTACTCTACTAAAAGCGTAGAGCAGTACTCTCGATTTATATAGCACATTTACAAAACTCTAAATAGCTCTCGTCCATGGTTCAATATATTAGTGTATCATCCCTATAGGATATCCATAATCAACTTAATGTCAAGTTCCGTTTTACCTTCTCGATTACATTTATCTTATGTTCCATTACCACTCAATCAGAAAAACCACTATTCGTACCATTACAAATAGTAAACTATTAGATAACACAGAGTAGTCTAATGACCGAGCGCTCGTATTTTTTAATCCACATATAATGCACAAGAGTATATCATTGACTCTTTATAAGAGCTATGAATTTCACTATCTATAAATAACAAATCTACGCATACACGAGTTATATTCTCAATATACCGATGAGCGTATCTTTACATAATGTCAGAATATCTCTCTTTAATATATTAAATGATACAAATCAAATTTACAGATTCATTATCCATATCAGGATTAAGATGACATCTCTAATAAAACTAGGGGTGGCAATTCGTGTCACGTGTCGTGTTCGTGTCGTGTATTGATCATTTTTTTTATAAAATTTACAGTCAACCCGAACACGACCCGTGACACGAAAATTTTTAAAAACCGCAACACGAACCGACACGACCACTTTACGAGTTGACACGACACGATCTGAAAATGACCAATGACACGAAATTGACCTGTGAATCTGAAATTAACACGAAATTGTATACTTTTATTTAATTTTTTACATATTAGAAATAACTTAAAATTCATAACACACTAAATTACAATAACATCCATTGAAATTAAGCAAATAATAGTATAAGATTTTGAGTATAACTATCATGATATCACAAGTTCATAATAAAATTTAAAATATGTAATGAAAAATATATGTATTTTTTAGTTTTTTACGAGTTTCGTGTCGTGTTCAGGTTAGGCGGGTCCAACCTGAAATTGACATGTATTTTTCGTGTCAATTTCAGGTCAACCCAATTCTGACCCGAACATCTTTTTTCTCAATCCTAACCCGTAAAATTCATATCGTTTTCGAGTTGTGTCATCGTGTTGTAACTCATATTGCCGGCCATAAATAAAACTAATGCTATTTATTAGGCTTGCACAAGCGGGCGGGTTGACACTGACAGTTTCCGGAATGAGCAGAACAGTGGACGGGTTGCCGGCGGTTTGTGATGACTGGCGGGCGGGTCAAGAGAGGCTCGATCAAAACAAAAGTACGGACCCAGTAATAGTAACTGACAGAGTCCTTATAAAAATAATAAACTAAAATTCCGAAATCCAGAAAAAGACAATGCAATCCAATGCCAATCGACATGACCATTAGCCTTATTACCAGTCATTTTCATTGTTTGTCTTCTTCTTCTTCATTTTCTTCCACTACACTCGGGTCCCCATCAACCCCACCTCGTCTTTCTGCCTTCTTCCTCTCCTCTCTCTCTGCTTCTGGTGAGCAAACCTTCTTCGGGCTTCTCTCTCCAATTTCCTCTCTATTTTGCCACTTGCAAATACTTTTCTTTTTTTTTTTCTCCTCTGATTCATTGGCTCAAAAGAAATGACCTTTTGGGTTATCATCTGTTTGATCTGATTTCCTAACTTGGGTTTGCTTGGGAAGATAATTGGGTTATTTAGCTTACATCTGATATGTGAATTCTGGGATGTTTTCGTCGACTTCCAAACTTGCCTTATTGGTTGCCTGGTATCTAAGGGGGATGTTTGGGATTTAGTGAATGGGTTGTGTTGAAATTCTAGTTCTTTTAGTTCCTCATATCGATGGTTGGTGTTCTGGGTGATAAAGTGGGAGTTTTGGATTTGTGAAATGTGTGATTTAAGCAAAAAATGATCATGGAAGTCAATTTGCTGTGCTGATAAGCAATTGAAAATGATTTTATTATGTCCCATTTGATATCTTCGTATCTGAGAATCAACAAATTCAACTATGCATTGTAAATAAATTGTTGAGGTGTTCTATCGGGTTCCCTTCTGGTTTATTTCCTGTCCATAGATCCCATTGTGCTTGGGTTGGTAATTAAAAGCTCAGCTGTATTTTATTTTCTTCCACACCCTTATTCGCGTTATGGCACATGAATTGTTTCTCCTTAAAGATGCTTGAAGTTGAATATTTCCTTACTTGAACATCTTTAAGTGACATGTTTGGAATTTCGATTGAAATGCGGATCATTGGCTTTTTTTTTTGTCCCCTTGAAGAATGAAGTTCATTCAGAACTCTTCATTTTGAATTGTTAATATCATTTGAAATTCTTCATTTCAAATTGTAATGTTCATTTACCTTTTTCTTTGAGTGCTGATTCTATTCGGTTCAGTTGCAGAGATGGATAGTGGCGCAGGTCCCAGTTTGTTTCCGTTGCACCGTTGCAAGACTATTCACCTGGTTTGTATAAACTCATTGTAAATTTTGAACTTGCTAATATGTAGTTCGGACATCCAAAGTTGTCCCTTCTCTTTTGCTGTTTGATTGCAACTCAAGTCATTGTCGTCTTATAAAACCTTACATCCAGGTCAGGCATGCACAAGGTATCCACAACGTAGAGGGAGAGAAAAGCTACAAAGCATACATGAATCCAGAATATTTTGATGCACACCTCACTCCACTAGGCTGGCAGCAAGTAAGAAGCTAGTAATTAGTTGGATTTTCTTTCTGCGAATTCTTTTACAATAAGGAAGGAAAAGCATTCCATCTATTCCACTTGTTGCTTTCAACAGGTAGACAATTTGCGCAAGCATGTTCATACATCTGGCCTTCACAAGAAGATTGAGTTGGTCATTGTATCTCCTTTGCTAAGGTGATTCTACTTATTCATTTGTTTTTAACTCCTGTTGGCATCCCCTATAGAATAAAAGAACTGTAAATTGAATACTCATTGTTTCAGCTGAACCATGGAAAATGAAAATCAGATTGACATTTAGTACCTTATCTTGGTGATTGGATTAGAATTTTCCCATCAAATTTTTCCGTGTGCATTCATGGATTCAATTATGCTACAATGAGAATGAACTTCTTACTTTATCTGAATATTGAATACTCATCTCAATGTTAAGTGCTGAATTCAATTCTTTGTCCAATTATCTCTTATTTCAAGTACCGAAAACTATTTTGCTGCACGACTTAACAGCAACTTTCGTATTTGTGAGAATGACATACTTCCTTGTAGTGACATGCTTCCTTGTATTCTAATGCTATTTCAAATCTTGTCAAGTACAAGTGCATATGTTTTGAGTTTCAAGAGGGGCGACATATAATTGTAATAAAAATAGAACTAAATTCAGGGCCTCCCTGTTAAACAAATATCAAATCTACCATTGTCAAACATTCAATATCATAAAAAATGAATTGTCCTATAAACTGTACAACATAGCATTTGCTTAAGACACACATTAAAGTGGTGGACTACTAGGGTCGGCGTGTTTTGAATTTATAGGATAATATTTTATGACCTTTTTACTTATGAGATCTAAATGTTACATACCTGTAACGTGTTAGAGCTGAGTTGCAGAAGGGTGAGCTTAACATTGTCTATGTTTTGTTGTGTGTGGACTTCTTGCTTTCTAGTTGTGGAACTTTTGATTCAACTACTTTGCTTTTGATGTGGTGTCTTGATCATGTTTCTTCTTCCCTAAACTGACATGCTTCCATGGTTTTATGCTAAAATTATCTTACTCTCACTTTGATATTCTAGAACACTACAAACAGCTGTAGGAGTATTTGGGGGTGGGGACTACACAGATAAATTGGATATACTGCCGATGATGTTGGCAAATGCAGGGAATAGTGGACGTGGTGCAATTTCTAGTCTTGACTGTCCACCATTCATAGCAGTAGAGCTTTGTCGTGAACATTTGGTATGTCTACCTGTAAGAATGAACTTATATTCTTCCTGCAATTTCTCATGATTTGAATCTTCTGAATGGGATTGCATAATTTGGCAGGTGGTTATAACTATTATTAACTATTATTAGTGGGGGGCAAGGTGAACCTCAAGCATGGCTTATTGTTGACCTAATGGCTATAAATGCTTTAATGCATCTAGGGAAGAATGTCCACGTGTCTAGACGCAGACATAGCTATTTCATGCATTTCTTATAAATTATTGGACTTTTCTAATTTTTGTTTGGCGTGTTGCAAATTGTTTGATACATGGTGTTGGATATGAGATTTAAGGCCTTTTAACTCGTTCTTGAATATTTCTCATTACAGGGAGTTCATCCTTGTGATAGGAGGAGAAACATCAGTGACTACCAGTTTCTGTTTCCAGCAGTTGATTTTTCACTGGCAAGTGTTGGTTAGATAAGATAATCTTGAAGAAGTTACCGACTTGTACTCATTGATGGTGCTTGTTATCTTTCGAGTGCTGTATTAAACGACCTTTATGTATTTGTGTAGATAGAAAGTGATGAGGATGTGCTATGGAAGGACACTGTTAGAGAGACAAAAGAAGAAGTTACAGCCAGGGGATTGAAGTTTATGAACTGGTAGACGCTTCTAGGATTATCAAATTACAGTCCTATAATCGCAGCTGCAATTTTTTGTTGGGAACTTTTCATAGAACTTAGTTCTCCTAAAGTTCTCTGCAATGTTTAATTTCTGAGTATACGGGTCTGTCAAGTTGTAAAAGGGCTTACAAGGTTCTGCCTTTGAGTTTGTCTTGTGACCAAAAGCAAGAAGTTTATCTCAGTCAGTCACATGTTCCTCATCAAAGCACTTCATAGAGCATCATATCCTTTCAAGGTCTCAATTGTAGTTTGGATTAATGCTTTAGTTGGTCCCTAAACTATACCAAATATTGCATTTGAGATTTAGGGAACAATGCGACGAACTTTTGAATGTTTAGGGACCATTCGTATTGAGTTCAAAGTTAAGGGACTAAATCGCTGCTTTTTTGGGATAGTTTTTTAATCAACCAACATAATTCTCTAGCTTGTGCAATAACCCCAATGGACATTGGGATAATACAAACAAATATTTCTTCCTTCGTATCAAAAATCTGCATGCATATGGGTGGTTTGTTGATACTACGTAAAACCTTTTAATCTGTTTGTAATTTGCAGGTTGTGGACAAGAAAAGAGAAGGAGATAGCAATTGTTACTCATAGTGGTTTTTTGTTTCATACACTTAAGGCATTTGGAAATGATTGTCATCCATCGGTGAAAAGAGAAATATGCAAACAGTAAGTGTGCATGCTTACCCTTAATATGGAGTCACCTTTGACAACTCCTATTTTAAGAAATAACCCTTTTAATATACGTGCAGCTTCGCAAACTGTGAGCTTCGCGCTATGGTCATCGTGGATAAAAGGTTAGCTTGTAATTTTTCATTCTACAGATAAGAACTCCAAGGAAATGTCAGTGCAGTATGGAAATTAATTTGACTAATTTCTTTATATTCCTAGTGACTAGACCCTTCTTTGTACCTATTGAGCTCCAACCTAGCAAACAAGTCAAATCTCTTTTGGTTCTTCCTCATCTATTCTCCTCGGAGCTTTTTAGGGATGACAAGTGAATCCAAAAATAATGACTAACATATAAGCAAAAAAGTTTAAAAACATCAAAATATAAACGTAAATTATCACTTCTTATTTATTTCTAATAGCTTCAATTTTTATTGTATGGTTGCACATTAATCTAGGGGCGGAGGCGGGATAGGGAATACTTCTCCCGTCCCCACCACGCCATGAATCGGAGACTATATTTTGTCCCCATCCCCATCTCTGTCCTTGATAATTGTGCTCCATTCCTGCCCGGTTCGGGACGGGGCCCGTCCCAGTGGGGAATATTTCCATCCCTAGAGCTTTTGCTGATTTTTCAAGTTATTTCTACTTAATAGCTCTAAGACACTCTTATGACTTAATTCTCCAATCTCCAGTATGGCAGGCTCGGATTGGTCAACGATTAACTATCCAGGAAAGATTCCTCCTGGTCCAGATATCTCCAGCGATAATGACGAAAACCTTGAGAAAGAAAGCTCTAACTCTTGATCTACACCAAATTTGGTAAAGGGTAGAGGAGAGAAGAAAAGCTGAGAAAATCCGATTCTAACTGTGATTTGTTCATCAATTTCTTGGTTAAAATATCTGGCATTTCCATGTAAGTGCCATAAAGGCTTATTTGTTTAGACACCTTACAATTAATTGAAGTGTCATTTGGTCGTCACAAGTGAGAGTGCCCCTTCCAAGTCTCATCTCTTTTCTTTTCTTTTTTCCTTAAGAAATTGTTTGCGTTTTGTGTTAAACAAAATTATGGGTTTTGTTCAATCTTTTAGATGGAAGATGTGTTGAATACATATGGGTTATGGTTTGCGTGGTCATATCAAGTCTCGAATAACATTAAGATTCTGAAAATATATTGAACTGGCATTACTTATACTTTTCCTTTTAAATCTTTTGGGAACTTATTTTTGTACTTGATATTGATGTACTGGAGGTACATACAACGGTTTTATTTGAGGAAAGGGGTTTAATGTCATTTGCCCTTGCCAAAAATATTACAGAACAAATCTAGGCTTCGTTCATTTCACCGATTTGAGTTTAAAATTTGAGTTTTGCTACAGTAAAAGGGTCTCAGAAACAGTCACATTTAACTTTTTTGCTACAGTAAAAAGCTCTCATATAAAATCACATCTCAACTCGAAAACTTCCTCTTTTTTTTTTTTTTTTTTTTTTAATTTTGGCTAAGAATAACAACCGTTAAGTTTTCTTAGCTTTTTAATTCTAAAATTTAGGATGATCTCATTAGTGCCCACTGAATTTTATTGTCATTCCTATTTTGCTTTCTAAACTGTGAAAGCTTTCACTGTCTTTTAAATTTTGAATTTATCCCATTTAAGCCTTTTTGTAAAAATTTCTCTTGAAATTAGATGAAAAAAAAAGAGATTAAGTGTGACCGTGTGATTTTTATTTGTATGTTTTAATAAAAATTTAAATAGAAAGATCACGTGACTATATTATTCTCTTTTTTTATATATATGTTTTTAATAGAAATTACAACCGAATAGATTGAGTGGGTACAATTTAAAATTTAGGGGTGAGAGTTAAAAAAATTTAAAAAGCAAACTAAAAATGATCTTAAAATTTAAAAGCACCGGCAATAATAATTGTAAAATTTATAAATGCTCTAAAACTAGGCATTGTTAACACAGATTTTGTTACTTTTTTTCTCCTGAATGAAATGTGTAATCTCAATATTTTATTATCGCCATGCAAATAAGATTCACAAGCAGCAGTATATAGCTATGAATGGCATCATCATGCCACAAGGAATTTACCACGCAAGGACCACATCTTCACGTTTCAAAATCTATTTAAACAGGAAGAAGAAGAGGAGTTTCAAGCCAGTTCCAAATAAATAAATAAATAATCCCAAGAGTAGTCTCATAAAACATATTTGCATTGGCAAGCTTTTCACGAGAACAGAACCTACAGTCTGCATTGAAGTCCGAATCCCATTGAAAGTCCCACTGCTAACTGGTTAAAAAAAACCACTCAAGAGAAAATGTCTTCATATCCTTTTAAAATAATATACCAGAATTTTACAGTGTAAACTAAGACAAGAAAGACTGGTATATTTTATTTTCCTCGTAAAAAGAGGCTATATAGTATATTATCTTATCAAATCGAGTGGATTTGAAGTTTGAAATGCAGAAGGAAAAGGTGTGCCAACACTTGAAGAGTAAAATTATTGTTCATACACCTAAGAATACGCCAAAACACACAACGGTTCGGCTCGGGCATTCACAGCAAGGAGTATAGAAGATCAGCAGCTTCAACTACGTAGAACATCGAAAAATTGTGCAGGCCTCTTTTTGGAAGGACAGAGTTCCTGAAAACACAATCCTTTTTAGAACAATAAAGATATTCGCTTTGACATACAGCTAGCTTGGAATGCATAAACCATTCTCATGTCTTGATTCACAGGAAGACACGTATGAGAATTGATACCTCTACAGCAGAAGCCAAACGCAGAATCGTAGCTTCGGCCCAGGGACGGCCTATCAGTTGCAAACCTATTGGAAGGCCTTGTTTATCATAGCCCACCTAAAAGTATAACGAATAAATAGAAGACAGAAAACCAGCCAGTAAAATAGCATATTTTGCATGCAGGAGTATATTATATAACATTTCTTGCATGCTGCAGAAAATTATGGAATATTACCATTTGCAGTGTAAGACAAATGGAAATTAAGTTAATCCAAATTCATCGAATTCCCAGTAATTCACTATAAGAATGACCAACATGTTAGAGAGAAATTTCCAGTTCTTAGGATTCACACATGATACATGAGAATCTTTACTTGTCGATTGTCCTCTAATCCTTTGAAAGGCCATATTTAGTCGAATCCAAAGAGCCAATATAAACCTAGAGCCGAACAATATTCACAACCGTAATCTTTCAATTATCCTTCATTAATGTTCTAACTGTGAAAGTGAGGATTTTGTTACAGCCCATATGAAATCTAGAGCCTTTTCAATGTTTGCTAGTTAGACAGAATGGATAGATGAATGCTTCTTCAGACAGAAATTATGGTGGAAGAAACTTTTCATTAACATAATAAGGTTGCATAAAGTAGAGTATTTCAGAAATAGACTTGAAAGAGAGAAGTGAACATCACTCACAGGCACAGATATGGCAGGCAGTCCAAGAAGATTTGCCACGATGACAAACCGCATAAGGTAACCTGAACGTAGGAAAGTGATATATCAATTTTCATATATCAGAAAGGTGAAGTTCAAGCGAAGGATCATCAAAATTGTAATATTTCTCAGCTAAATAGCTATATAAAATATATGTTCAGGAGGCAGATAGAGGCCAATGGAAATGGAATATCTGAAAATTATTCATAAAAGGGGTGATATATGTTTTGTTTGTTTGTATGGTTATTAACATATCCAAGTCATTGCATGTTTTCTAATCTTGGATGATTTCAATAATTCCTTCACGGGGTGTCACAAAATATTGGAAACATTTCTCTCAGACCGCGACCAAGGTTTTTCTCAAAAAAAAAAAAAGGAAAAAAAAAAGAAAAAGAACCCCGCAACCAAGACTCAAACTGCATACCTGTGACAACCATGTCTGACTCTCCATCTTTGATAGCACTAGGTGGTATTACGGGAGCTGTCATGCTGTTATGCATAATATCGTTCACTTATAACTTCACATAAGATTAGAACAAATAAAACTAAGAATCCATAAATAAATTATCCAAAGTGAGGGGAGAAAAAGACTGAGAGACATGACTACCAAGCTAGGGAGAAAAATGGATTATCTATGTTGTCCTTTTACATACCCTGTAGTTGGGGTCACTATGATGTCAACGTTTTTGAATATCTCCATGAAATAGTACATAATCCTTCTCCTGAAATCAAATCCAATCGAAATTTTAAAAGTCAAATATGTAGCTTTCAATGAATGAGGATAACACACTATGATTCATAGGACAAAAAAATGACAAATACCACCCCCACCCCCCACCAACCAAAAAAGGAAAAAAACAAAAAACTTAGATAACATAGTGAAGATCCGTTATTAATAATTTGTATCTCAACTTCAAACTCGATTTTTTAGGCTAAGGATCAGTAACCATGTTAGTCACCCAGGAACCATAAATCCATTCTGATCAGGTTTAAAAGAAATTGGAAAAAGTTCATGCTATACCTTATCTAAGTTTTCAAATCTAGCATTCTTAGATGCTTCATAATCAGAACTGATTTAATTTAGATTGCAAGTATGATAATTGTGAGGCGAATTTTTCCGTGATAATTTATGACTTGCTTGCACAGATTTTCGAAAATTAAGCTCCATAACTGCTTGGTGGTCAAAATTTGGCCTCACCTAAGACACTGGGATGCGACATAATCTGCTGCAGTGAATGATTTAAAAAGAGCAATACTGATACGAGTATCATATGTTAATCTTGGAAGTTTCCTGAAAGAGAATAATAAGTTACAGTATTTTAATCAAATTTTGCATTTAAGAAAGATATATTAAGAAAACAAAGAACATACCCGTCTTCACAATCCGGATTCAGTGAACACAGACACTCAGATCCAATGGCAACAAGATGAGCAGTGCGCATCTCATGCAACTCGGGCACGACAATTTCTGCCACCTTGTGATATTTTTATAGACGGTAGGTCGATATTGTTTCAGGTTACAATAAAGAGATAGCATCATGTGTGAAAATGTGTAATTTTCACTTTTTAAATTAAAAAATCAAAGAATTAGAAAACATTCGAGGAAAGTGATAGACTTACTTCACAACCATGGGTTTTTGTCAAAAGATTAAGAACCTCCTCACATTTATCAGATATCTGAGTTGAATGTACATCATTAAACCACTGCAAGAAAGTGAGAATAATAACATATTCATAGCATTCAACTTGGAATACAAGACAATTGAATCTATTCTACTTTGGTAGAAGGTTGCTACTTACCTCTGCGTACTTCCCTAAACGCAAGGATCCCAAAACATTCAAGCTGTCATATGATGACAAGTTTGGCACACAAGGTGGGGACTACCAAAAAGAAACAGAGAGTTAGTGTGGTAAATAGAAGAAGAAAACACAGAAAAAAAAGGATATACAGAATGAAATCACTCGTTATTTTGTCAGCTAGTAATCGCTTACGAGGCTTATGAAATATTACCGGATTCATACTAATTCTATTCTCATGAGAGGTTCCCAACATTGCCGAGTACCTGACAAATTATCAGTTCAATCAGAGCACATCAAAAGTATGAGGTAACTACTGCTTTCCACCAAGCGTATATTAATTGTTGAATGTTATCACGGCGACAGTTGAGCAGAAATGTAGGAATTATATCCTTAACATGTACTCTCAGAGAATTAGAATTGTCTGGTTTATAATTAATGGAGGCATTTTAGAAGAATATTTTTGTTTTTCTAGCTAAAATAGAGAGAGGTGGAAAGGTACAATTTTTTGTGATAAGAAATATTTTCTTACACTAGCATGACATCCTCCACGGTTGATGCAATTGGTCCAATAACTTCCACTGTGCCACCACATAATGACCTAAGAAGAAAAGAAACGGAAAACAGTAAACAAAACATTTCTACTAAACAACTCCAGCTACGGTATCATAGGCATTCATAGAACATGGCTGGCATGAGAAAAGGATTCTGTTTAGAAACTAGAGTTCCCAACTGATCTTCTCACTTGAGATAATTATAATGCCAAGATTTGACGGTTTAGGCCAATGCATTAAGTGGAATGGTAGATTCTATATTGAACTACATTCTGCAGTGAACTTTTCAAGCCTACCTTTTTCTAAGAACTAAAAAAATATAACCAATTCTCCTTTAGAAAAAATACAACCTATCCAAAGTCCAATGATACTCATCGTGCGTGATCCCACATAGGTTCTGATTGACATATAGTTATTGCTAGCCGTGTGTATTATTATCCAATTTTAGTTCTTTAGGACTTGACAACACCAGAGTTCATACACCCAATTTCGGCCAGTGAATCATATGATAAGCTAAAGTGTTTATCAACTGAAGTACCAAGTGAATGCACCAAATCCTTAATATTTTTTAGCACAAATCACCAAAGGAAGATCATAAATTATCTGAGGCTGTGAAAAATAATATCTTGTTACAATTGAGTAACTGATCCATTCAAAATAATAAATAGTTTTGATTCGGAGTGAAAATGCGTTAAAAAAAAGGATTTTACTTGTTATTTTGGATGGACCTCATACTGGATTAGCTTACCCTTCCATGTCAACACGGGCATATGTTCCCTTCAAGCCAACTACACCACAAAGGGAAGAAGGTATACGGACAGAGCCTGCATTTGATTACAGAGTCAATAGTGCAGCAGAGGAAGGTTTAAGCGAATCAATAGTAGCTACTTCATAAGTCCACACAACCTCCCCCATCTGTTCCTAGTGCAGCAGAGCATATTCCAGAAGCTACAATTGCCGCTGGGCCTGAGGAAGATCCTCCCGTATATCTTTCTAGTGCGTGAGGATTTCTTGTTGTTCTTGATCAAAAAAAAAAAAAAAAAAAAAACAGAGAGAAGTTTAAACTCAGTAAAGACTAAAGAGAAAAAATCAAGAAAATCTTGAAACGGAGGTAAATGGAAATTATCTGTTTCATTCTTCTAAACTATAGTGCAAAACTGAAAAGAACATCAGAAGCACACCAGAATTTTAAAGCCTTATTGTTGTAGCGTCTATCACCAGATTGATATAATCTTGGCATGTGTGCAAAACTTGTAAGAATATAATTCTGGAGTAAACAGATAAACCATACCCATAATTTGGATTATTTCCGGTCGTACCCATGCCCATTTCATGCATGTTCGCCTTTCCTACAAAAATCACACCACAGCTACGTAATCTCGAAACAGAAACTGCATCCTCATCTACAGAGCGAACCTCATGCATCCATGTTGTTCCACCTGTCACCATGGAATGGTAATTAAGCTGGCAATAATCAGTAAGAAAAAGAGACAAAAAAAGGGAAAGGAAACCTTGCAAAGAAATTGTTGGAGATTATTACCCTTAGATGGATGTGGATAACAGTCTATATCGTCCTTGATTGCCATAAAAATTCCGTCCAAGATTGATAATGGATTGCCTACGGAAGAAAGAGTGATAGGCGCTTTAGGATATCAATGGAATTTGCTCTGCCGACATCAACTTCGGTGACAGCTTCTTCTAGTAAATGCTCAAGGCATAGCTTACTCAAACAGGAATGTTTTAAAGCACTTCTACTTTTCATTGGTGCTCAATACCACTTGTTATTAATCCAATCAAATTCGGCTGCATACTAATACGAGATTTATGTGGGACTCGTGAGCAGTTGTGCTAGGAAAAAACACAAGATTATACTACTGCGTACAACTAGTGAGGTTCAACATTTTCTAATTTGTTTTCTTCGGTTGCTTTATATATATAAATATATAACAAAAATGGAAACAAAAGAAGTAGAAGTCAAAAGTATATGATGTAGAATACCTTCCTCGAATCTTCTAGTTGAAGCTGCAGCTTGCTTCCTGACTTCCTCCGCATCAAAAGAAATCAATAGAGGTGCCGGGGGTTTCTTATCACTAAACCCCTCTAGAACTGAGATTACATGCTCCGCGACCTATACATGTGTGAGCCATATTGAAATTCAGAAGACAATTTTAACAATGATGGTTTTATTTATAGAATTAATATCAACTAACCGTAGAAGGGGTTGCAATCCCTGAACGATAAGCATGCGCATAATCGCGTATCTTCCAATAGCAGAAGGATAAATTGGAATGCCCATTGCAGCAACTAGCAGGATCATATTGTGGAAGGCATTTCAAGGCTAAAGAAACTCTGTCTTCAGGTTTCCCATCTTCGTCAAGAATGACAACAGCCGGTTCCAGTTCTATGTCACCAGTGTCATTTTTGTGGTCAGATAAACGGATAATTATATCAGATTTGTGCAACCGCAGAAGTAAGCACTTCATTAACACACATGAAGTCTAGTGTTACATTTTGACCAGCCTTTTTCTCTATTTATAATGATGTGAAACAAACTTCTTAGATCAAATAATATGAATTAAACACATGAACATCGTGACATAACCAGAGCATAGAAATAAAATAGCAGAGAAGTAACAGTTAAGTTAGATTACTTTCATTGAATCTATCCACCAATGATTTTTCTTTTTTTCCCTTGAAAGGAAACCCACAAAGGAAAATCCAATGCATCCATTTTTCAATAATCTCGGTACATTAAGCGTGGAAAAATGTAGGTGGAAAAATAAAAGATCTTCTCGTTTTATTAATAAAATTCTTCTCTTTTTTGCCTTGTTGCACACTTCTCATTTTTATTAATAAAATTCCTCTCGTTTCTTATTAATAAAAAAAAGGAAAATGTGGGTGGAAAACAAAGCAGCATAAATGAACACCTTGTGGAGGAAATTCAGGTTTGAACATGGCTTCTTCAGGTATCACGGTATTCTGCAGCATCTGCAAATTGCAAGACATAAAACTAAAATGCTAATTATTTCAATCAATCTCTTCTAACATGTCAACACTAAATTTGCAATTGCTTACCTCAACCATCTTATTCTGCTTCTTCAAGACAGACATGATCAAGGGACCTATTCCCGGTGTTTCGAAGATCCCAACAAAGAACTTCAAGCCAAATCCAGTTAAATGTGGAGCTGCAAGGCAAACCAATGACGAATTCACTTGCGGTAAAAGGCTAAGAGCTTGTTTGGTAGGAGAGAAAAGTGTAAGACCATCTCTAATGTAAATATTAATATCAATTGTATATTTATCATCAAAAAGTGTGATATGATATGTTATTTTTATTTTTGTTCAAACGTATAATGATATTTGAAATGTTAAATTTATTTTTTCACATAATTATTAAAAAAAACACAATTTTGATCTCTCCCCGTCCCTCCGTACGAAGGGATTAGAGAAGGTATTTCATACCAAACATAATAACAAAAAGATCTTTCCTTCTCATTTTTCTCAATTATATATCTCTCTCTCCTTCCTACTTTCTTTTTCTCTTTTCAAACAGTGTAAAAGCTTCAACCTTTTTCATCCAACAAAAAGAAAAAAGAAAAAAAGGTCAACACAACAACATACACGCAAATACAGGAAAATCCCACATGTGCGGTGGTATGAAGATCATTACCATGAACATCTTCCTGCTCATACTTGACTGCTGACAAGTCCAAATCCTCCGCCGGGACCATTACACGCTTCTTCCCCATCTGCACCAAAAAAAAAACCAGGAAAGTAATCAAACAATTTTCCTACAACTTTAATCAGAAAGAACTTTTCATTCCATTTTTACATAAAAAAACAAACAATCAGAATTATAACCCCGAACCTCGTCTGGCGTCTGAGGAGAAGAAACAAAAATGGTGGAATTTTAAGTCAGCGCAGAGCAAAAAAAAAGTCGCTTTCTCTGATTAAAGCAGGCGTTGATATTTAAAGAATAATGACGCCGGGAGTATTATAACACCGGGATCGATGATAACTGAGACTGACCCACAAAAACGCTTACATTTATGATTTAGTCTTCGGTCTCGCTCAACCACCTTATCGAATCCAATATTCCAGTCGAATGGAAGAAGGTGACTTTTTTTTTTTTTTTTTTTTTTTTAACATAGAAGGTGACTTTTAATTATGGGTAAAAAAATTATGATTCATTCTTCTTATTTTTAAAATTTAAATTTTTTATTAAAAAAAAATATTTTAATAAAATAAAAAATTAAACAGAACTCTTAAAATAAATGGCATTAAAATTTTTGAAGATGATAAATAGAAATAGTCTTCTCGCACATTGATGACAGATAGATATAGTCCTTTCGCACATTTAAGTCCCGTTCACTTCACCGATTTGAGTTTAGAATTTGAGTTTTATTATAGTAAAAAACTCTCAAAAATAATCACATTTAATTTTTTTACTACACTAAAAAGCTCTCACATAAAGTTACATTTTAACTCAAATTAAAAATTTAAATCAGCGAACTAAACGAGCCCTAATTATATCTTTTTAGCCCCGTTGGTTTCGAGCACCGGAGTACCTCACAATCATACACTGTGATCTGTGACTCATTTTTACATTTTTATTACGTCATACACAGTTGGTGCTCTTTAATGCTCTTTAATGTTGTTCATCTATTACAGGACCAAATCATGCTCTGGTTGAGATTTGGGTCGTGAGTTTTGATGTTTAGTGTAACGCCCTATCACGAGACACCGTTACTGTCTCATAACATTCATTGTTTATGATAAAATAAAATTTTATAGAATTTAAATAAATAAAATAATATGAAAACAGCTTGATTTTTTTTTTTTGTTTTAAGACATGACTTATCAATTAATTCAAATAAACTTCATCTAAAAGTAAAATATGATTGCAACATTTCTAAAAACCTTAAACTTAACAAAATATCTTTAACTTGCGGAAATTCATAAAATAAATCGTAAATTTTAATATATGTAGAATTATAACTAACCGTTTGAAAAGTATACTTAAATCATAATTCTTGATTCTAACATTTAAAATTTAAATTTTATATAAGAGAAAAACACTGTAGCAGTGTAATGACCAAGAAAATCTCAGAATTTAACTAATATAATTTATGTATTTAAGTCAAGAATTTTTCCTAAAAAATATTATGCTATATTTTGTGATTGAAGGATTTATGAAATTACTATCAATATTCTGAAATTCTGTAGCAGATTTCATGTTAAGTTCATGTGTTACGATTAAATAAATTCGATCGATAAATTCTCACCGTACTTTAAGGCGGAAGAATTTTCAGTACATATACAGTTTGAAAATCTTAATTCTAAGAATCTCCAAGCACAATACGATGTTAGCAGCGTACAAAAAAAATCCTTAATTGCCGAACAGTTAGGTTGAAGTCACGAGAAAAATACTTATAGTAGAAGGGTACAATGTGAGCTCAGGAGTTGACAATGTCGGTGGCAATATCATTCCCGGAATATAATGCAGAAAAGTTAAATTTAAAATTTGTTCAGTCTAGAATTAATTTCAAGACTTGAAACAGTTCCAAATATTACGTGAGTAAGAATTTAATATCGAAGTACTGGGGGATTAATATTGAACTGTAAATAAGCAGTAGAAAAGGAACCGTCAGAAACTAAAATTTCCTGTCGGCTAAGTACTTCCTTACAGCTAGTGTAATTTTTAATAGTTTTAAATAAAACTTAAAAGATGAGACAAAAGTATAAGGGATAGGTTAATGTTTAGATTGGATGAGATGTGATGGTGGAAGATGAAGGGTACTCATGATAGTTTTTTTTTCCTCTCTTTCTTCACTTGGCCAACCATGTTAAGGGGTTTTAAGTAAAAATTTTGGTTAATTGAGTGTATTAGAAGACTTCATAATGAGATGAATCAAATCAATTATTTAACAAAAAAGCTTACTTTACTTCACTCTTAAAGCACCAAACGGGCCATACCTCTCTTCTTTCCTCTCAAAAAAAATTTCACTAATCCTTCTAAACACAAAGTACTAGTCTAGGATCTCAAGAAGAAGAAAGGGACCAAGGTGTTCTAGAAGGTGTCTAACCAAGGATTTTCTTCACAGGTAAAACTCTAAACCTCCTCTTTCTTGTTTCTAGTAAAATTTGAGATTTAGAAATGCTCTTCTTAAATTTTTTCACTCTTCTAGTTCCAAGTCATTAGCAAAACTTAGAGGAAGAAGAAGGTGATCAAAGTGTTTTTAGGAGGAGCCTAACCAAGAATCTTCTTCAAGGGTACAAACTCTAAACCCTTCATCTATTTTTCTAACAAAATTTAAGTTGTGAATTACGGATGCAAGTTTTAAGCCATTTTTCAAAAACAATACATGCTGTCCAAAACAGTTTCAAAAAAAACTGGCAGCCACTATTTTTAGCCAAACGAGGCCTTTAGAGGCTGAATTTCAGCTTTCTCCAAAAATAATAATTTTAGATCTCGACGAGATGAAGAATTGTCATGAAGAACAGATTTTCAAAATCCGACTCTAAGATGCAGTAAAATATAGATTTTAAAAACTGTACAGTTTTAACTTAACAAACTAACACAATGTTAGTTTTTAACAAAAATTTATCAAAGAACCCGAAATGTGATTTCACTAAAATACTATAGTTTTAGACATCGTTTCAACAGAAATATTCGTGAAGCAAGTTTTCAAGAAAAATGGTTTCTTTTAAAAAACTTAATAGTTTTTTTCGAGCAAAACACCCTGATGGGCACCTACGAACCCAATATGTTAGGTCCTTAGAATTATGAAGATTAGATGTGGGTCCAACGACCACATTAATTTAAGAGACCCCGTTTGAGTTTAAATTTGAACGGCCTAAGAGTTAGAACGCCGTGAATAAGTTTCTAGGCTGAATTGGGCCTTAATATCATAACAAGTCTAATGAGGTAAATTATGGAGAACAAGTTACTAGATCAGGTAATTGATTTTCAATCTAGGTAAGTGGATGTTAAGGGATATTAAGAAAAATAAGATTTTTAGGATTTAATAAATTAATCCTTATAGTACATTTTTATCCATCGATAAAGGAAATGAATACATGTCTTAAGTAAAAGATTTGATTTTCTCCGCAAGTTGCTAAAATAGAATAGCAAACGATAGTAAATCTCACACTCTCAATGGGTGTTCATTTTTAGAAGTAAGCAAGTAAGAGAGTAGGCTGTTTGGCGAATAGTGGATTCCAGCTTTGTAAATCAGGTAAGTAGGAATCTCGCCTACAGTATGAATATATTTTAAAAGAAAAAGTTACACATGTTATGTACGCATGTTTATGCTTTATCCGATGCCATGTCATAATGCATACACCTTAATAAGTCAAGTGAAACTTATAAGAACAAACTCAGTTTAGTGTCATACCAGCCTTTGAGAGGGAGGTAACTCAGACTCCACAAGGAGATAGAAAAGAAAAAAAAAGAAGTATATAGTAAGTTAAATCACGATGTCCTTGGGGACCTTGCAAACCCCCACGTCCCGATGGTTGCACGCACATGGTACGAGCACTCGGGTCTATAAGTAAGATAAGATCAGATAATAAGAATTTGATAAGACATGATCATAATTAATCATAATTGACTCATGCATATTTATTCATGTGAACTTACAATTATTTTGCGAGAGATAGTTCCTACTTGCTGAACAAAAGCTCATCATAGAATATTTATACTGTAGGTAAGCAACCTGCACATAATACTTGATGGACTGATGGTAAATAGATGAACAATGATGAAATCGGAAAATGGATACCGCTCGCAATTATTTCCGCAAACAGTTTTACGTTATAAATAGTTTTGCTAATTATGATTCTGAAACTATATGTTAAATGGTTTTGTGGATTATGGCTGTAAGTAAGAAAGCAATTCATAACTTATGTCTACTATAAGACTTTAAAAAAAAATGTTCCGTAAATTTTAAGAAATTCCAGTAAGTACAAGTTAATTTTCAGTTACAGTGATAGCCACCTAGGAAGGTCGTCACAAGCAGAATTTATGATTTGAGTTTGAGTATATGAAACAAATGGACTCTAATTATATAAAAGTTCAAATCGTAAATTCAGGATGTGCCACTCCAATATTTCGTTTCCGTCACCACGCCATATCCGCACTGAGCTATTCCATTTTCACACTTAACCCTTGTTCCTAATTGCAATATGAGAAACATCTGGTAATCATAATGCTTAGTAAGTACATCATAAATCTCACAAAACATTTTCATCAATTAATAACTTTCATCGAAATAATTTTCACCAATAAGTAAATATATACTTAAAATAATATGTATAAATTTAGGTCTTGTTCATTTCATGATTCAAGTAATATTGCTACAATGTTTTCTCTTATAAAAATTTAAATTTAACTTTTTTACTACAGTATTTTTCTTTTATATACACAACTCAAATCATGACTTGAGTTGTACAAATGAACATACTTATATTACTTTAAAAATTTCCGTCTATAGTACCCTCATAGCACGCGTGTTACGAAAAGCATTGGGTAGCTAGTCTCAAACCAACCGTGACAAAATGAAGCAATCGCTCACCGATCGGTCCGCTCACCAGATCCCATCATCCCATCCATCCATCAAGGTATACTAACGATTTTTTAAAACATCAAAATAATAAGATAGTTTTTTTATCAAAAAGGTTCCCATCAAATAATAAGATAAAAATAACATCATCTTCCATCATTTCCATCAATTTTCTCATTATTAAAAATCCTCATCTTATAACGTCTTATATCATAAGCCATCAATATTAACGTCTTTTAATTTTGATCATTCATATTGCAGGTGAGAGATGTACTTATTTGATCTCTAGACTTACTCAACCTTTAATAAAAGGTGACACTGCGGCTCGAGTTCTCGGTGTGCTCGTCTCCTTGAAGAGTTCATGCCAAGACCATAAGTTACTAATAATACTATCAATATCTAAGCATCTTATACCATAATTGAATATCATCTCATCACATATAACTATCAAGAAGCACAAAATCACAACTTCCCAAATTTAGTACGTAATTCCCAAAATTGGACAGAATGACTTTTATTCACTTAAAAAAACTCATAATAAATTTATCTTAATCCCAAATCTATCAAAACTACCGGCAT